CCAGGAGGTGACAGAGGGAGCATGGGGGAAAGGAATGCACAAAGGAGCTTGTTGCTCTGGAAACCAGGCTGCAAACGACAAGGTCTTTTACTTCAATTAGCAGCAACAAAGGCCCCCAAGGTCTCCGGGCTGGGATGGGAGTCAACACCTTTGGGACCACTGAGCTTATTAAGGAAAGAACACATCAGCAGAGCTCAAGGCTCATTTTCTTTCCCTCTTTTTCTCTCTCTTTAAAAGAATAAATTGTCACCTTCCCACTCAATCTGGCTGCTCACTCCTCTGGCCCCAATCCAGCCACCCACAAACTCACTACCCTGCAGCCTCCTGCCCGATCCGCCTTGGGAGCCAGCCAGGAGGGGAGGAGGGGGAGGCTCTGGGGGTCGCATTTGTGTGGATCCCCCCACCCACATTACTGGACCCCAGGTGTCCCAGAGGGTCAGTCGGAAGTGTCCCTCAGTGTCCAGGAAGGTGGCCACAAGGAGAGCTCAGCCACCTTCACCACATTCACTTCCTGCTGCCTCTGTGGCCCACATGTCCCGGTGCCAGCCCGTCTACCTCCCTGGTGAGCCCTGGCTCTGGTGAGCAGAACTGATGGTCCCATGCTGCTCACGCCTGAGCTCGGCTTTCCCTTCTCTGGGCTGCTTTTGTGGCCACACGATACAAAGGAAACAGCACCTGGTCATTTCTTACATCGCTAATAACAGTGGCCATTCATTGGGTGATTAGTATGAAGCTCCTTGAGACCAACCTAGGAGGGGGTATCAGGACCCCCATTCTCCAGATGAGGAAATTGAGNGGTATGAAGCTCCTTGAGACCAGCCTAGGAGGGGGTATCAGGACCCCCATTCTCCAGATGAGGAAATTGAGGCTCCAAAAGCTTAAGTCACTTGCTCCCACATCTAGCAAGTGGCAGTGCTGGATGAGACTCAGGCCTGATGGACTCGAAAATGCCTAAGCAGTAGAGTGCCTCCAGAAAACATCTTTTTATGGTCTTGGTTTACTCATTTGTAAAATAAATACATCAAATACAAAATTTAACAGTGTTATGAACTGACCGATTGTGTATCCCTCCAAATTCCTATGTTGGAGCCCTAACCCTCAATGCGATAGCATTTGGAGATGGGGCTTTGGGGAGGTGACTAGGTTAGCTAAAATTGTTCACAGTCTGGAACTGTGGCCAGCACACGTGGCCATGGGCGCTCATGTGCTAGGAGATATTCTGGAATTAGGCAGAGCACTCCGTGAGCTGGCCCTGAGAGCGCTAAGGGTGCTGGGTTAGAAGCGGCCTCAGCCCTGTCTGAAGGGTGAGGCCCAGGGACAGAGTCTGGAAGTTCCTTTTTGGAAGTTCCTTTTATGGTACAACAGAAAACTGCTGTCTGGCCAGTTCTATCACATCAACAACCACAGTGGCAGAAGTGGTAACAGTACTCACTCTCATTTTTCAAGAGCTTGCCATGTGTTAAGCACTTCACCTGCAAAATTTCTCTGAAATGGTAGGTAACACTGTTATCCCCACTTTCTGAGGGAGGGAACCTGAAGCTCAGAGAGGGGTCTTATGGGTACAAGGCAGTGAGAGAGAGAAGATGCCTAGCTGCCCCCACTCTCAAACTCAGCCCCAGGCCCTTCCCACGCATGCAGGGCAGACCTGCAAGATCTTGGAATACACAAGGCAGCCTTCAAGGATATTTTGTCCAACTTCTCTCCTGCTCACCCATTGCACAGGTGAGGAAACCGAGGCACAAGGATGCAAAGACACTGTTACGGACTGAATGTTTGTATCCCTCCTAATTCATATGTGGAAGCCTTAACCACACCCCACAATGGGATGGCATTTGGAGCGGGGTCTTTGCAAGGTGATTAGGGTTAGATGACTAACCCAAACTGACTAATATAGACACGGTTCTTTATGAAAGAACCGGAGCCCCTGATGCTTGCCCAAATGAACCAAAACTACCCTTATCCCCANCTCCAAAAGCTTAAGTCACTTGCTCCCACATCTAGCAAGTGGCAGTGCTGGATGAGACTCAGGTCTGATGGACTCGAAAATGCCTAAGCAGTAGAGTGCCTCCAGAAAACATCTTTTTATGGTCTTGGTTTACTCATTTGTAAAATAAATACATCAAATACAAAATTTAACAGTGTTATGAACTGATCGATTGTGTCTCCCTCCAAATTCCTACGTTGGAGCCCTAACCCTCAATACGATGGCATTTGGAGATGGGGCTTTGGGGAGGTGACTAGGTTAGCTAAAATTGTTCACAGTCTGGAACTGTGGCCAGCACACGTGGCCATGGGCGCTCATGTGCTAGGAGATATTCTGGAATTAGGCAGAGCACTCCGTGAGCTGGCCCTGAGAGCGCTAAGGGTGCTGGGTTAGAAGCGGCCTCAGCCCTGTCTGAAGGGTGAGGCCCAGGGACAGAGTCTGGAAGTTCCTTTTTGGAAGTTCCTTTTATGGTACAACAGAAAACTGCTGTCTGGCCAGTTCTATCACATCAACAACCACAGTGGCAGAAGTGGTAACAGTACTCACTCTCATTTTTCAAGAGCTTACCATGTGTTAAGCACTTCACCTGCAAAATTTCTCTGAAATGGTAGGTAACACTGTTATCCCCACTTTCTGAGGGAGGGAACCTGAAGCTCAGAGAGGGGTCTTATGGGTACAAGGCAGTGAGAGAGAGAAGATGCCTAGCTGCCCCCACTCTCAAACTCAGCCCCAGGCCCTTCCCACGCATGCAGGGCAGACCTGCAAGATCTTGGAATACACAAGGCAGCCTTCAAGGATATTTTGTCCAACTTCTCTCCTGCTCACCCATTGCACAGGTGAGGAAACCGAGGCACAAGGATGCAAAGACACTGTTACGGACTGAATGTTTGTATCCCTCCTAATTCATATGTGGAAGCCTTAACCACACCCCACAATGGGATGGCATTTGGAGCGGGGTCTTTGCAAGGTGATTAGGGTTAGATGACTAACCCAAACTGACTAATATAGACACGGTTCTTTATGAAAGAACCGGAGCCCCTGATGCTTGCCCAAATGAACCAAAACTACCCTTATCCCCACCACAAGGGTTGCCAGGTTAGGGAAAAAATGTATGCCCCGTTAAATTTGAATTTCAGATAAACAACAAATAGATTTTAGTATAAATACATGCCATGCAGTATTTGAGACATACTTATACTAAAAATGATTTAGTGTTTATTTGAAATTCAAATTTACCTTGGCACCAGTATTTTATCTGGCAGCCTTATCATCTCACTGTTTAAATTACTCCAACCCCATAACAGCCCAACAATGGGGCCTTATGGGAATCTAATGGGTATTTCAGTATTAGTTTTACTTTAATGGGGATAAAAATAGTATCTCTGCCATAGAGTTATTGTGAGGCTTAAATAAATCCATATGTGAAAAGTGCTTAAAACAGTGCCTGGCACATAGTATGGGCTATATAAATCATGATTGTTGTTGTTATTATTATATTTTTTAAACAGTGTTTGGAAAGAACCCTCCTAGTAGAAGTGACAGGCAAGATCTTCAGCCGTGAGGAGGTTGCAGGATTCAGGACTCTTCCTACCCAGATGCTCCCCCCCTGCTCCCCCCCCCC